CATAATTATTATACTATTTATCGGTTTCGAGAGAGTGGAAATCAGCTCTGTATGGAGAAAACAAAAAAAAATAAGAAAAATTTGTATCTTCTTTTCCCACCTAGTTGCTTACATTTGTATACGGCAAGAATATATTGAAAGATTACGTGAGTAGTTTTTTAAAACGATCCAACGGAGTTCCCTTTATTTTCACGATCTTCGTTTTACCGCACTCTCTTTCTCCACTGTTGCTTTCGTTTCTGTTTGTCCATTTTTCGCGGAGAAGGAATTTTCTTCTGGCGAATAAAGAAGTGCGAGCAATTTAGAGAGATTGGAAAAAGACGGGATGGTGTTGTTCGTTTATTTTGTATAGACAGAGGTGAGATTTATCAATCGACGGAGAAAAGAATATGTGAGAAACACTTGTTTGGGCAGACCAGGGTATAAAAGTGATTATTTCACGTTCGACGCGTTCCTGATGCGTTGTCACTTTTAATTTTACAACGTCGTATTTAGTTCTTGCGTGTTTTCCTTTTTAAATGTTTCTTCTGTTGTCGGTGTGGCTATTAGAGAACCAGGTCCATCGGATATTTATTTGTAAGGGTAATTGAAAGAGCGCGGTAAACTTCTGCTCTGCTTGATAAGGACGTCGAACAGCGCCGAGGATAAAAGAGGGAAGCTTGATGACCGATGGATAGCGGTATGTTCTTATTTTTTACATTTTTTTATATGTAAAATTTTTATTGGCAGGATTGGTAATTATACGAACGTTGAATTTATGTAACTCTGTGGCTTGTTCGAGAGAGTTAATGTTTTATGTTGTATACATTTGTCAATAATCTTTTCTTTCTGCCACAGGCAAAGTGTGGAGGACGAGGAACTTTGGAAAAGATGCGAAGTACCGGGAATTTTCGAGAATTTTTACACGAACCGAGGACCAATCTAGATTCTCCACGCAATTTGCTAAGTTTCCGCTGGAATTTTCGGATTTCTGCGATTTTTACACGTTTCCAATGACTTCTGAACTTCATTTGTTTAAGTTTGCTGTGGAATGTTACTTAAAGAATGAGTGTTGCGTAAAAGAAAATTAATATTGTGCGTAAGAGAGAGAGTGAACTGGCTGTAAAATGTAGTAAAACGATGTTTGTACAGTAATTTTGCAATAAATGATTAATTTTGTGATAAATTATTGAATTTCCTGATTTTCCCTGCTGTAGAACTAATTTCCTTGATTGCTGTGGTGGCCAGAAGCTTCTGTTTTTGATATAAACAAATGTTAAATAAAAGTTGTAAACAATTTCTAACTGATCTACTATATGCCATTGGTAATTCAATGTGTAATTAACAAATTGAGCTGTTTCAATAACTTAAATCAAGCAACAAATTTATTTAATACTTTCGATAAATGTAAATTACCACCTAAATTGTTATTTAACAAAAAGAATTAATTATTCCATGATTAAAAGTACTTGTTAATAAAATAGAATTTTTATTTTCCTACCTACACCATAAGTGATGTTATAGAAACAACAAGTTTATTATAAATATTCCAACGTTACAAAGGACCGAACGCGTAAGGCATCTTTCCCGGAGCACGTCCTTTGACCAAGTGGCGGCACGCACGATCCTTACGTCATCAAAGGCACCGAAGCCCCCCCACCACAGCGCGAGAAGATTCGAGGAAAGCGGGGCCTTCCTTTGCCACAGTGTCGACCGGACCACTCGAGAGTGGGGGGTTAGGCTAGTTACGAACACGGGATACGCCTGTAAAAAATCAGCGGCAGTTAAGCGAATTTATGTTACAATATTACATTAATCTTAAAGCGTTTATTACAAACAGTTATACCATAATGTACAGTAGGTATTATTAAAAATTAAAAGTTTAACGAATTTCTATTTTAAAGATCAATTATTTTGATAATACTTCGTTTCTGGCGATATTTTCTGATATATATGAGTAAGACAAGGAAAATAATAAGGGTACATAAGGATAACAATAATACTATGTGTTAGACAAGGAAAGGAATAGCGGCAGATAAGGATAGCAATAGTACCGTGTGTTAGACAAGGAAAGCAGTAGTGATAGACAAGGACAGAAAAAAAGCTGGGGGGGAGACTATCGCCATCTCGCGTTAGGAGACACGAACTACGACTTTTCAATAGGATAACAGAATATAAACAGAGGTATTAGACAAGGAAAGCACTACTGTGCGACAAGGACAGAGCGAAAACGCTTCCTATTGGCTGGCGGGCACCCAAGCTCGACCAACCACAGACTAAACCAAGTCCGTCGGGGAAAAATCATTAATAACTCATTAACTACGATGATTTTGTGAACTTTTAGAGTTGAAGAATGAAGAGTGGACCTTCAGGAACTTTCACATATACTTTTTAGTTCTCTAGACCCTCTCAATAATTAGTTATTAATATTTTAGTACATGATGTCGAGAACGATACCGCATACCGTCAAATATCTTTCCGATTTCTCAATAATTTCATAGCTTTCTACTAAATTCTCATGCATATAACTACATGCGTTTGAAAAGCAGTTCCCTTAACTACATTCTTTTATAATTTTTATTAACATATTCGGTCTAGTTTAGTGGTTATTAAACATTAAAGGGGAGCGTCTCCTATTCATCGCAGTCGTATATAGTGAACTGTTCTAAACAATTGCTAATATCGATTAAACCGCACGAGTTAGAGCGACAAAACTAATTGCAGAATATAGACAAAGGTTCATTCTACATTCTTCATGTCTTAAAGTGCATAATCATTTACGCATATCGACAGAAATAACGAAAATATGTTACACTTGAATACGACGCCTGTAACACTCAACTAAAGAATATTTAATAACTCATAAACTAAAGGAAATATGTTAATAAAAATTATAAAAGAATGTAGCTAAGAGAATTTCCTTTCAGATGAATACAGTTATTTGCATAAGAATTTAGCAGAAAGCTATGAAATTATTGAAAAACCGTGAACGTATTACACCCGTTTACATACTTCGTATTCAAGCTTAACACATTTTCGTTATTTTAATAGAAATGCGTGATAAATTCTGAACTTTCATGCATGCAGAATTTAGAATGGACTTTTATCTATATTCTACAATTAGTTTTGTAGCTCCAAGTCATGTGGTTTATTAGATATTAAGAATTGTTTAGAACAGTTCACTATACGCGAATACGATGAACAGGAGACGCTCTCATATAATGTTTAATAACTTCTAAAATAAACGGAATATGTTAGTAAAAATTATAAAAGAATGTAGCTAAAGGATCTGCCTTTCAAACGCATGTAGTTATTTGCATGGGAATTTAGTAGAAAGCTATGAAATTATTGAAATACCGGAAAGATACTTGACGGTACGCGTATCGTTCCCGACATCACTTACTAAAAATATTAATAACTAATTATCGAAAGGGTCTAGAGAACTAAAAAGTATATGTGAAAGTTGCTGAAGGTCCACTCTTCATTCTTCAATACTAAAAGTTCACAATTCATAGATAGATTCATAGATATTCGCAATTGTTTATAACAGTTGATTATATACGAGTACGATGAACAG